CATCATCATCATCATCATCATCATCATCATCATCATCATCAGCATCATCATCATCATCATCATCATCATCATCATCATCATCATCATCATCATCATCATCATCATCATCATCATCATCATCATCATCATCATCATCATCATCATCTTTCTCGTCCTCGTCCTCCTCCTCCTCCTCCGCCTCCGGCCCCCTCCTCCAGCCTGCTCCTTCGGCCTGCTCCTGCTCCTCCACCTCCTCCTCCTCCGGCCTCCTCTTGCTGCTGCTCCTCCTCCTCCTCCTCCTCCAGCCTCCTCCTCCAGCCTCCTCCTCCTCCTCCTCCTCCTCCTCCTTCTCCTCCACCTCCTCTTCCCCTCCTCCTCCTCGTCCTCTCTCCTCCTCCTCCTCCTCCTCTTCCTCCTCCTCCTCCTCCTCCTCATCCTCCTCCTCCTCTCCTCCTCAATCCTCCTCCTCTCTTTCTCCTCCTCCTCCTCCCTAGCCCCTTCACTCCTCATCCTGCAACTTCCTCCGGCGCGGGCCTCCCCCCCACGCCCCCCCACCCTCCGGCCTCCTCCTCCTCCTCGGCCACCTCCTCCTCTCATCCCCTCCTCCTACTCCCGCCTCCTCCCCTCCTCTCCTCCTCCTCCTCTCCTCCCCCTCCTCCTCCTCCTTCTACTCTTCTCCTCCTTTCCTCCTCCTCCTCTCCCTCCTCCTCCAGCCTCCTCCTCCGGCCTCCTCCTCCTCCTTCTCATCATCATCCTCCTCCTCGTCCTCGTCCTCGTGCTCGTCTTCCTCCTCCTCCTTCTCCTCCTCCTCCTCCTCGTCCTCCTGTTCCTCTGTTTCTCCTCCTCTTCCTCCTCCAGCCTTTTGCTCCTTCTCCTCCTCCCCCTCCTCCTCTTCCGGTGCCCCCTCGTCCCCCTCGTCCTCCTCGTCCTCCTCCTCCTTCCCCTCTTCTTTTGCTTCTTATTAGTATTATTCTTAGTACTATTATTGGTATTATGCTTGGTATTCTTATTAGTAGTCGTCTTCGTCGTCTTATCAGTATTAGTAGTAGTAGTAGTATTATGTGTCGTATCATTCGTCTTCGTATTATTCTTATTAGTGGTATTAGTATTATCAGTATTATTCTTCGCATTCGTATTATTATTTGTCGTATTAGTATGTGCATTATTCGTTCAATGCTTCGTCTTAGTATTAGTAGTATTAACAATCGTATGTTTATGATTCGTATGAGTAGTGCCCTTATTATTCTTATTCGTAGCACTCGTACGATTGGTATGATTATTCTTCGTAGTATAATGATGTTTAGTAGTATTACTATTGTTGTTTGTATGAATAGAATGCTGATGACTTGTATTAGTAATATTAGTGCTATTATGATTATAAGTAGTAATAGTATTACTATTATAAGTGTTCATGTTCTTATCATTGTTCTTAGTGTTAACATTATCATTCTTAGTACGGTTATTATTCGCATCAGTATCAAGATTCGTATTATTATCAGCTGCATGTTCGTATTAGTCGTATTCGTCTTCTGCTTACCATTAGCGTTAATATTCTTACTCCTATAACAAGTATTATTTTTGTTATGGTGATTAGTATTACTAGTGTTATTCGTATGACTATCCTTAAGATTAGCATTAATATGATTGTTAGTTCTAGTGGCATTATTATTATTCGTATTCTTAATATTCTCACTATTATTAGTAGTATTATTATTGCTACTAGACTCTTCTTAGTAGTATTAGTAGTATTAACATTCTTCTTCTGAGTAGCATCTGTACTCACAGTAATTTTCCTCTTACGATTATTTATACTAGTATTATCAGTACTAGTAGTATTACCCTTTTTTGATTAGTTACAATCGCATGCTTATTCTCGTGACGATCATTATGAACATTAGTAGCAGTAGTAGTAATAATATTTCTATGGTTGGTACGATTGGCAGTGGTATTACCAGTGACAGTAATATCAGAAGTATTAGTATTCGCGCTCGTACTAGTATTAACAGGCATAATATCAATAGTATTGTCAGTCGTCGTAATATGAGTAATAATACTCTCATTGTTAGTATGACGACTATTATTAGTTGTAGTCTTCGTTGTATTCTGCTTTTGCGTTAATAGCCGTATTCTTCTTAAAACTATTCTTTTCTCTGTAAATTACTGTGATACTTCGTATTCGTATGAATGCTCTTCTTGTTGTGACAAGTATTACTAATCGTATCAATAGTTTTCGAACTATTTCTGAACATGCTTAGTATTATTATTCATAGCTTTAGTCGTGTTATTATGATGATCCTTCTTCTCCTTAGTACTATTCTGGTTCTTTTTGATATAAAAAACTTCTTATTAGTAATACTAGTCTTGTTATTCGTTATCCTATGTTTCGTATTCGTACGGTTCATGTTTCTTATCAGCATTATTATTACTAGTATTCTTCTGACTAGTAGTATTAGTATTTGCACTAGTCTTATTATCCTTCATACCTTGACTATTACTAGAACTACTGTTCGTATTCTTCCGATTATTATCATGCTTCTTCGTATTATGAGTTGTCTTATGTTTCTTAGTATGTTTCCTCCTCCTCTTCCTCCTCCTCCTCATCCTTTTCCTCCTCATCCTCCTCCGTTTCCTCCTCCGTTTCCTCCTCCTCCTCCTCCTCTTCTTCTTCCTCCTCCTCCTCCTCCTCCTCCTCCTTCTCGTCCTCGTCCTCCTCCACGTCCTCCTCCTCCTCTTCCTCCTCCTCGTCCTCCTCCTCCTCCTCCAACCTCCTCCTCCTCCTTCGGCCTCCTCCTCCTCCTCCTCCTCTTCCTCCTCCTCTTCCTCCTCCTCCGGCCTTCTCCTCCTCCTCCTCCTCCTCCTCCGCCTCTCCTCCTCCTTCTCCTCGTCCTCCTCCTCCGTTTCCCTCCTTTCCTCCTCCTCGTTTCCTCCTCCTCCTCCTCCTCCTCCTCCTCCTCCTCCTCCTCATCATCATCATCATCATCATCTCTCATCCTCATCATCATCATCATCATCATCATCATCATCATCATCATCATCATCATCATCACATCATCATCATCATCATCATCATCATCATC